TGTTTTACTGTGGTTGATTTAATGCCCCTATATTTCAAAAGCTTTCTTTCTTATTTTAAAGCATACACTGGATATAATCATATCATCATAATCGTCACCTCATCAATCAATATGCTTCTTCTCATCAATGCAATCAACATACTTCTGCTCTGATCAGAAACATCAGCAATATGACAAGAACATATTTCGGTTATTAAAAGGTCAATCATTTTTAGGAAAAGCAACAGTATGAAAACAATCATCTACATCTTATCATACTATCATCATCATCATCATCATCATCATCAAAGTATCATCATCGTCATTTAAGTATTTCTAATTCAACTATAAAGATTGATCAACAACATGATGATAACCACTATTACTTACAGCTTGATATTTTACAATAATTAAGACCACTGTAAACATTATGAGTTGAAGCAGCAGGGTGTCTCTAGAGCTGCATACATGAAACAATCACGGCCCGCTTTGGATGGAATAAATGTAAACGTGTGAATATATGTAAACAAGCATGTATCATTTAGGAGTTCTACTGACAAAGATAAAAATTATATGTACATTTAACATTAACGAACTATCTACTATGACACTATCAAAATACTTTTCGTTCAGTATTATAAACATAATTTTTAACAACCAAATTATTTCTACCATTAATATGACCAAATCATTGTACATCATGAACCGAAAAATGTTCATCACAACCATAACTATCAGCATTGCAATCAACAGAGTTCTACCTAACATCACCACCATCAACATAATCATTGTCACAATCAAAATATTTCTTCTCATCATCACTATCATCGACATCATTATCATCATTGCAATCAAATACTTCTGCTAATCATCATTATCTTCAACATAATTATTCAAATTTTTAAGACTTTTACCATCACCTTTTGAGGTAAAATGTTTCCTATCTTCGTCATCATCATCATCATCATCATTGCAATCACCATCATTCTGCTAATATCCCTATCATTATCATTATTGCAATTAGCATACTCCTGCCATTTATCATTTATATTAAATTACCATCAACCAAGGGAAGGCTATTTTCCTTCATATTAGTCCCTTTGGATTAGCATTTTCACCCCTCTTTATGATTTGGTACTTTATTGACATCCTATGGAAAGTTATTTTACCGAAAAAATACCCTACCCAGAAAAGGTAATTTTATTATCTTCCTCCCGACAAACAAAATAACGAGAAGCACTTTTACATCCTATGGACGGCACTTTATTTATAATAATCATAACAGATGCTTAATTATGAAGACATGCTTATGTTTCTAAGATGACCTTAAATATAACATATTTCGATTCTTTGAAATACCATCACTGGGAAAAAGACCTACACAGAGCGTATCTTGGCTTGTTTTGATTAAATTTGAGCGGTTTACGAGATGTCGCGAGGTTTTCAATTGTTGTGGCGGGCAAAAGTCATTTTACTGCTGAATTGCAGAAATAGTAGTTAAAGTAGTTTGCTGTATTATAATTTCGAAACTTTCAATGGTATCAGTAATGTTTTGTTTTTCCTACAAAAATTATTAACTAGTGAAGTAAAGCGATGTCCCAAGTGTGTTAGTTTATTATTTTGGTTAGATCTGGTAAAGGATCAGGTGCCTTTAAAGCCTTCTCCAAAAAGAAAAACAGGTAAACATGGGTTGCAACAAAGGAAAACAACATAAAAAATGTGTAAAGCTGATATACATATATGTGTGAGTGTGTGTGTGCGTATGTGTGTTAATATTTTATGTGCTTGTATTTTCATTCAAGACTTGTAATTCCGCAGTAAAGCGTTACATTCAAAATTACACAATGAAACTGTTTCTCAATTTAAACATAGTCTCACCGCTATCAGATTCATTTAAGAGTGAAGCAAGCGTTAATTGTGTCAAAGGAAAGGAATACACACATAAGTTTATAACCGACCTACAATATCATCTTTCAGGTACAATCTCAACATTTGGAGGCAAAGGTATGCAAATATATTTTTATTAACGACCTTCAATATCATCTTTCAGGTACAAACGCAGGAGACGTAAACAATTCGTTATAAGATATGGATGTTTATCAACCTTGAAACTTGTTGACATGTACCAATTTTCGGTGTCTGTGTGTTGTTGTGTGTGTGTGTGTGTGTGCGTGCGTGCGTGCGTGCGTGCGTGCGTGTGTGTGTGTGTGTGAAGCTATTAAGATATAAGATAGAGTGACATTATATATACTTGCTGTATATTATTTTGTTCAGCTTTTACAAATATTAGAGGAGATTAACGTAACTATCGATCTGCCTTCCGGCTCGGGTATAAAGGGTGGGTGTTGGGCTACTGACTGCCATGCCTTTTAATTTACTGGCCAATTGCCATGACATTTATATAAAACATGAAACACATATTAGTCGTCACCATGATCATCATCACCAGCAGCAGAAGCAGTATTATCACTTAATATCTAAAATGCACTAAAATGACATCATACTTTATGTCATATAGCAACGGCAGTTATAACAATAAGGTGATAAAAATAAGATTTCGATGACTATGAAGATTTTTAGGATGAATTTGACGATCTGATGAGGGGACAAACGATGATTATAACGATGAGAGATTTGATTATTACTTCAAATTTTATGATCGAACAAAAACAAACCATGATTTTCGTGAAAGGATAATAGTTTAGATGATGATAAAAATGATGATGAGTTTACTAATAAAGAATTTGATGAAGATGAAGTTGATGCTTTTTTGATTTTGATACTGATGACAATGATGATACCAGTTGGTATTTACGTAGTGACGATTATTTTCAGCAAACTTCATTAAAAACAAAAAAAAATGAAAGAACAACAAAAATGAAGCTGTATTTATCAACGAAATTCATAAATAAAGTCTCGCTTCGACGAATAATGCTTTCCGTCATTGTTTCAAATAGTACTTCTTTAAAGTACATACATTATTGGCCTTGCATGTATCATTGAAAGCATTTAATTGTGTGAAATTTGTATAGCAGTCATGCATATTAGACCAGAGCAAGTCATAAACTTGAATGACGGATATATATATATATATATATATTGTATTTAGATATATTAGTTTCTACAATTTGATGTTGTCGCTAGAGCTTCAATATCAGATAAGCTTTGATTTATGCCGTAGGAAATAATGCATGAAAGTTAGACCTAAAAATAAACTATGTAATTTCCTTTCATTAGATCATATAGTTTGGCTGAGAACAATGCAAATAAATAAATAGATATACGACTCACTGAGAGTTTCTTTTGACGTCTTATCTGTGATATGCAGGCTTCATAACCTCAGATCCCCTTTCAAAATTTCATTTTATTTAGTTCCGCCCATAGTTTTCTCGTTTAGGGCAATAGCATTCTTTTACTTGGTGACCATACGCCGCTTTTCATGGAATGGCACTACTGTGTCACTTTGAAGGTTCCATGATAACCGCCGTATGAACACATCTGCGGATGTTTCTTAATTCAAAATTTCACCATAGTCGTGTTAAATGTTGAATTCTGCTTAAGCCGGTGCTAGCGGGCGTGGACGGTAACTTGCACATTCCAGTACCGTCCATGAACAGGCTCAATCAAACCGAGCCTGCAACATTTTCAATTGTGTTGTGTTGGACCATCTTTAGGGATTCTGTTTTTCTCTTTTTTATTGTCACATCCGTGTTATTTGTGCCGTGTGTCGGCTGTAAAAAGTCTCCCCGTACATTTAATCAATGATGTTATATTTTCGATCATTTAAGATCGTTCAGCACGACATTGTTGTTGTGTATAAATGTTATGTGGTACTTTTAGTTTCATCTATTTGGACATTTTCATCTTGGGTGGTTCCAGTATTCCGACTTTAATACTGTATAATCACCCTTAGGATATGTTGCCTGCTTTTTTAATTTGTCTTTTGACGTCTTATCTGTGAAATGCAGGCTTCATAACCTCAGATCCCCTTTCAAAACTCCATTTTATTTAGCTCCGCCCATTGTTTTCTCGTTTAGGGCAATATCATTCTTTTACTTGGGGACCATTAGTCGCTTTTCATGGAATGGCACTACTGTGTCACATTGAAGGTTCCATGATAACCGCCGTATGAACACATCTGCGGATGTTTCTAAATTCAAAATTTCACCATGTTCGTGTTCAATGTTGAATTCTGCTTAAGCCGGTGCTAGGAGGCGTGGACGGTAACTTGCACATTCCAGTACCGTCCATGAGCAGGCTCAATCAAACCGAGCCTGCAACATTTTCAATTGTGTTGTGTTGGGCCTTCTTTAGGGATTCTGTTTTTCTCTATTCATATAGATATTCATTAGGTTCACTGTAATTGTCTTAATTAAAACCAAACTATACATTAAAACGATCGTGTACTGCAAAACAAGGTTCTTTTTTCAGCCTCCCTTATTTAGATGACAGTTATATGGAGCAAATAAAACGAAAACTAAACATTTACATGATTGATACATTTTAACAATTAATGTACATTTGTTAAAATTTTAGATATGTTCAACGAAAACATATGACGGACAAAACGCTTAAGACGTTATATCAAGTTTCTCACAGGAAGATTTTTATCACATTCTTGTATACAGTTTAACCAGTGTATAAAAGAATTAACAGACATGGCCTTTATTTACGAGTGATCTTTATTCGGAGTTTTCACTTTTGTATTTATTTCAAAAACATCATTTAAGAAAATGTTTTGTTTTTAGTTGCGGTCTTCATGCAGAGGTCATCTTTAACAATGGTTTGACAGTATCAACAAAATATATTGATTTTATAATCATCCTTATGCAAACATTCTTTGAATGTTTTAACAAGACAAACAGAAACATGACATTGGTTGAAAAATGTTGTTTTTTATTCAAATATCAATATATAGACTATTTTGTATTGCATGCCTTATGGTTGACCTGTTGAATTTTCATTGGCTAACAAGCAAGTCTTCAATCGAAGCGAAAATAAAATAGCGTGTCAGCTGATGATTTAAACTATTTAGATTAAAGAGGCAATTTATTGCGGACAAGATTGTTAAAAGTATTTTTGTTGATTTTTTGTAACCAGATATGCTACTGTGATTTCATATGAACATTTAAAATGAAAACATTTTAAAGATGATCTTTGTGTTCAATTTCTAGGTAACTTGATTCAGACACATTGGATGGATTAAAGAACACACTTTACCGTAAGTTGTTATATATTGTAATACGTCTATCATTCATCTTTCTGTATCAATTTGATGATGTAGTATTTTAATTTGCACCATTTTAAGCAGACATCATATTTTTATGGAATGACATATGTTTTTTTATAAGGTCTCTTTGCAGTGGTTATTCGGTGTCGACTTTTATGTTGAAACATTCGTTTTCGACTTCGTGTCAATGTACTGATTCAAGCGTTAACGTAAAAGAGGAATTATAGCCATAACTATTTATGACTTATGTCGGATGATAAAGTCGTATAGTAAATCAAATCAATCATGCGACAAAACTATTCCGGTTCAAACCTAGGATGAAATTAAATACTACAAATATATTGTATTTAACAAACGAATTACAAAAAGCATGTTGTTAATTTAGAGGAGTGGGTCTTTTCTTATATAAAGAAGTCAATGCATTTTTATGTATATTTTTAATCAGTATACAGTAAAAGACGATATAAAACAAAGGTTTCAAGGTTTCAAAATGTAATGGCTATCGATATGTTAAAATGCGTGTGGCCATATTTACAATAAGTATGTATGGCAAAGACAGAAGTATTGTATATTATATACAATTATTCTAAAACGAACTAAACAGGTTCTAAGAGTGTCATTTTCAGTTACATTTAACTTTTTTAAAGATAGTTATCAAATTTAAACTCTTTTTTTAAATAACAATAATTCCATAAAGGTAAATTTGTGTATGACAACTCACCCCCTTAACAAAAACATAATAGACTATGCTTCTAAACCTTATTATGTAGTTCCATGACTATGACTTTCAAACACCAAATTTAAGAGCTTAACATATTGTAAAAATAATACTATGACCACAGCAAATTTTTCGTACAGAAAAGTATTCAGTCGATACCAGAACTACACACGAAAATGTTCAATTAAACTGATCCTGAAGATTATTTTGAATTTACTATTTGTGCGCTCATGACTGATTCGTCTTTTCCCATTTAATACTTTCTTCTATTACATACAAGTTGTAACTGGCAAAGTGGAATCGTTATCTTTAACGTGTATTCACAACTCAAAATCGACAATTGCATATTCATATGAAAAAAAAGTAAAATTGTTTAATGTGAAGGTGGTCCAGTACCAAGGGAATTATTTATTATTTTGCGTACTTGTAAAGCCATTTATGTAAGACTGTTATTTCATTCCTTCAAGATTGAGGTAAACTCGCCTTGGGTGTGCATATCTTATTGTTGAAATTTATTGTTATTATAAATTTACCTTTATAACTAAGTGTTTTCATAATGGCCAAAGGCTTATATGACAGTATAGGCCACTATGAAAACACTTATAATAATAATTATTGACAATTTTATTAATTAACTACACATAATCTAAAAAGCTAAGCACTTAGTGAACATAAAACTAATGTATTATTCTGTTGTTGTGAGGTATTGCAAATGGGATTCTTTTTTAAATGATGTCCCTACTTTCAAACAATTCAAAATGAAAAAAAAATAAGCAGATTAATAATGGCCGAACTGGAGAGCCAATCAAAATTCTCTTTATTCATAACAGCCGAGTTTTCTCATAAAGACCAACCTTTTTGCATAATGACATTATTTTATGTGTTCATTATGTCACGCTGAACTTCATATTAGCCTTACATTTGAAGTGAAAACGTGTCTAATATTGTAAAGTTAATAAATAAAGAATATTAAGAGGTGTATAAATAGGTTCGTTTTTAAGTATAGTAATACAAAACTTTAAATGAACGGCCTACAATTTTCGTCTCTGCTATGCCAATTACGGACAAAAGGCATTTGTAGACAAAATTATGATGTATTCGTTTGATTTTTTTTCTGTTTACCATCTACATTGCTGCTATTTACGACACCGTCGGCGTGATTCTTATTAACATAATAATGTAGGTTTTATTATGTTATGTTTTTCGCCAATGACAACGGTACTAAATAAAGCTGACAGAGCATTTTTAACATGATTTACATCAAATCATTGTAAACAATTATTAAGCATATTAATTTGGTTAGCAGCGGCAATTATTTGCTTTGACGGTCAAATTGTATTAAGTAGGAATTCAAGATGTACATAGTAGGTTCAGCGTATTTTTACTATTTTATCTGTTCATATGTCATCTTTTAAAAGACAGATGTATTTATTTGTTCTTAATCAACAAGTATATTTATAGCAAAAAGGCTAAGGCGAAATACACGAATCAATGGCATTTAAGTTAAAATAGAAATGTCCGATTGAACGTATGAATAAATACAAAATATTATATAGAGGATATTTGTATGATTCTGTATTAGATGAAAATGTGTTTGTTTGTTGTGTAATGTGTACGCCATTCATGAATATACTATTTTAAAGCTCAATCTAAGAAATAAAATTACATCTTATATAACAAGCTTACACATTTTCATTTAATTTTTGCTTAGTAACAAGTTTGAGTAAAATTTCCGTATATCAACATCTGTTTTTTCCACTGGTAGCCTCCATTTCAGACGAATTGCTCAAAAATACAAGCAGTCTTGATCTGAATAATAAGTTCAAATGGCGATGATATTATTTAGTTTAAACAAAAAACTTGATTAAATCATTAAAACGAACATTTATTAAAGGTTGAAAAAAAATGCACCATACCAAACATAATTCCGTTATATACAATAATAAAACGGAAATATATATTAGTCTCTATCACGACCGCCATTTCCAAAAGTTGTTTTATTACAAGCGAAAAATATTATAAAAATAATAAAATAATTTTACATCTATCATAAATCATAAGTCAGTCACATTTGCAAACTCTAACATGTTTAAACTGAGTAAAAATGTTTAGACCCTACAATCGTTGTTTAATAATCAGCATGTAGCATCATTGTTTGAGAATATAAGCATTTGACATTGCCCGATAAACGGAAAATCAGGAACATTCCAATTTATAACATTTAAATCTATATATGTACAAGTAGTTTATTATAATACCATTAATAAAATGTTAAGTTTGTTTCATTTCGGCTAAAAGAGCAGACAAAATCGATACGTAGGTTCATATTCGTATATCCTTTTGATTATTATCCCTCGCCGATGGAATCGAGAGTGGGGTATTGTTCTCTGCAACTACTGGCTGGAATTCAATGAATCTTTATGGGAATCATCAATATCAAGAGGTGATGCGCATATCGTTAGCTTGTTCCAGTCAGACACTTTAACTCAGAGTTATGGCCCTTGATTAGTTATGCAGTATGCATATAGTGCAAAAATCTTTTCCGCACTACTTCCCTGCAACTATTGGCTGAAATTCACCGAAACTTTATGGGAACTTTTAATACCAGGAGTAGATGCGCAAATTGTCGCCTTGTTCCGGTCAGACACTTAAACATAGAGTTATGGCCCTTGATTAGTTATACAGTATGCATATAGAATAATAATCGTTTCCGCGCTACTTCTATGCGACTACTGGCTTGAATTCTACGAAACTTTATGAGAACCTTCAATACCAAGAGGAGATGCGCATATCGTCGCCTTGTTCAGGTCAGTAATCATTTATGCGCTGCTTCTATGCAACTACTGGCTGGAATTCAACGCAACTGTATGGGAACCTTCACAAACAAGAGGAGATGCGCATATCCTTGCCTTGTTTCGGTCAGACACTTTAACTCAAAGTTATGGTCCTTGATTAGTCATACAGTATGCATGTAGAGCAATAATCGTTTCCGTGCTACTTCTCTGCAACTACTGGCTGAAACTTTATTGAGACTTTCAATACCAAGAGGAGATGTGCATAATTTGTTGCCTTGTTCAGACCAGACCCTTCATTACAGAGTTATGGCCCTTGATTAGTTATGTAGTATGCATATAGAGAAATATTGCTATTTTTTGCAACTGCTGTATTGATTAAAACAAAACTTTATGGGAACTATGGATACAAAAAGGCAATTAACATCTCATGGCCATGTCCAGATATAACTATTTAACACCGAGTTAATTAAGGCTCTTTTATTGCCCTGAATATTTATTATGTACAAAGAATATTACTGTATACGCCATGATAAATATATAAATAAAGCCTTGTGGTTTCATTTGTTGTGCAAGTAATAACCAGTACTTGTCGGGGGATATAAATTCAACGAATTTGCTTGTTTAACTTAAACCTACACCTAAATTTGAATTTAGTATGTTCATCAATTAATTTGTGCTTATGTTCTTAGTTAGTTTATATTTATTTTATTTACATATTAAAGATCAAAATTAAACAGTACAAGTACAAACTTGATATTGAAATAATACTTTTTTGTTTCATCTGCTTTACATAATATTATACGGCTTTTTATACTTAAATCTGTTAACGTTTTAAATCTCACCATCCCTTCTTTTAGTTTTCTTACATAAATACACATTGAATAAAACTGATTTTTTTACATATATTATAAATTTCAATTGATCGTTTTGTAGTAGATATAAGATGTCCTTCAAATTATTAGTAAGAAATGAGAAAAATCTGTTCGACATAGATCCTTTGAGACGTCTTTCTAAATAGAAATATTCATGTGAGGGGAAAAAGCATAGCAAATTAGAATATATTTACTTTTTATGCCGTGTTCATTTGAACATTAAATATTTATAATACTGAATTGGAATGACAAAACTACGAGCCTTTATATTCATGAATAAACCTTTTGTAATGAAGAAAAACAGAAATGTAATATGAGTAATCACGTATGTTCTAACGTAATTTCTAAACAAATATTTGAATATCATATTATCTGTCAGCAAATCGACGCAGAAACTGTATAATGCATGTATTATGCAACTTTTATTTGTAACAACAATTGAATAGTAGAAGCAAATAGATTTAAATTAAAAAAAATAGACATTCATTGATCAATATTGAAATGATTGTGTTGCCTTATTTACATAAATTGAATAAAAAAATTAAAAACCATTAAAACTTTTTAACGACCACTTGTAGTTAAGCTGAACATAAGTATGATATGTGC